TGTGGGTCTATCTCATGCACATGTGTGCGATTTGGCTGCCTCAGCTCTGGGGTCCCGTGCTTGAATCCTCTTGTGTGACTGTTGTGATGAGTGAGTGTGTGTGTGTGCTCCTGGCTGTGCGGTCCGGTTCTGACCCGGCTGCCTGTGGTTGTGCCGTTGCAGGAGATCGGCGCCCTCCTGCAGGCGCGGGGCCGGGAGTTCGGCGTGACGACGGGCCGGCCGCGGCGCTGTGGCTGGCTGGACCTGGTTCTGGTGCAGTACGCTCACATGATCAACGGTTTCACTGCGTAAGAGTCTCTCTGTGCGCGCGCGCGCGTGTGTGTGTGTGCGCGAGAGACCGTCTCTGGGCGTGTGCTTGTGTGTCTCTCTTGCTAGCCCGAGTCCAGCCTGTCCTCTGAGTCCTGTGCCTCTGCCTCTCCCTCCCTGCAGCCTCGCTCTGACCAAGCTGGACATCCTGGACACGCTGAAGGAGATCAAAGTGGGCGTGGCCTACACAGTCAACGGGCAGACGATTCCCAGCTTCCCTGGTGAGTGCTCCCTGGCGTTTCCTGTCAGAGTGACCAGCTCTACTGCTGTAGGAGCTCTGCTCTCTCTCTTTCTCCTGTGTCCAGTCTGTGTATGTGAGCCCCTCTCTCTCTCTCTCTCTCTCTCCAGCTAACCTGGACACTCTGAGCCAGGTGTCAGTGCAATACGAGACTCTGCCAGGCTGGGAGTGCAGCACAGAGGGTGTGCGCAGTTTTGGGGACCTACCCCCCAAAGCGCAGGCGTACGTCCGCTTTGTGGAGAACTACCTGCAGGTGCCAGGCAAGTCTGACCCCCCGTCTCTGTCTCTCTTTCTCTCTCTGTGTCTGTCCCTCTGTGTGTATCTCTGACTGTCCCCCTGTGTCTCTGTCCTTGTGTGTGTGCATCTCTGTGTGTCTCTGTCCCTGTGTGTATCTCTGTCTGTCCCTCTGTGTCTCTGTCCTTGTGTGTGCATCTCTGTGTCTGTCCCCTCTGTGTGTGTGTGTCTCTGTGTCTGTCACTCTGTGTCTCTGTCCTTGTGTGTATTGCATCTCTGTGTGTCTCTGTCCCTGTGTGTATCTCTGTGTCTGTCCCCTCTGTGTGTGTGTATCTCTGACTGTCCCCCTGTGTCTCTCCCTGTCCCACAGTGAAATGGATTGGTGTTGGAAAGTCCCGGGAGAGCATGATCAAGCTGTTCTAATGTGGACTTCAAGGGAAA